CTGTGTATGATTTTAGTAATTTGGGTCTTTGTTTCTTGGTCAGTCTAGTTAAAGGTGTGTGAATGTTGTTGATCTTTCAAAGAAACAACTTTTGGTTTTGTTGATAATTTCCATTGTTCTTCTCTATTTTGTTTATTTCCACTCAAATCTTTATCATCTCCTTCCTTCTGCTAACTCTGGGTTTAGGTTTCATGTCTTTCTAGTTGCTTAAGGAGTAAAGTTAGGTAATTGCTTGCAATATTGCTTCTTTTTTTTTAAATGGAGGCGTTTACAACTCTAAATTTCCATCCATACACTGCCTTTGCTGTATCCCATTAGTTTTGGTATGGTGTGTTTATTTCATTTGTCTCCAAGTATTTTTACTTACCTTGTGATTTCTTCTTTTACCCATTGGTTAATAGTGTCCTGTTTAATTTTTACATATTTGTGGACTTCCCAGTTTTTCTTCTCATTAATTTCCAATTTCATTTCCTTGTGGTTGGAGAACATAGTTTATATGATGTCAGTTTTTTAAAATGTATTGATACTTGTTTTGTAGCCTAAAATATGGTACATCCTGAAGAATGTTCCATGTGAACTTGAAAAAAGTGAGTATTGTGCTGTTGCTGGGTGTGGTGTCCTATATGTCTGTTAGGTCTAGTTTAAGTGTTAATCAAGTTACTTCCTTACTGATTTTATGTCTCTATGTTCAGTCCATTATGTAAAGTATCTGTTGAAGTCTCCTACTATTACAGAACTGTGCATTTCTCCCTTAATAATGTAAATATTTGCCTCAATATATTTGATCTTTGTTGTTTAGCTCATAAACATTTATAATTGTTAATCTTCTTGATGAATTGACCCTTTTATCGATATATAGACCTTTTTTCTCTTGTAACAACTTCTGACCTTATGTCAGTTTTGTTTACAATAACATCATAAAGGTGAAGGTAAGGGGAGGACAGAGTTGTAAAGGATCAGTGCTTTGTGTGCTGTTAAAACTATGATGGTAACGATTCAAAGTAGTTTGTTGTACATTTAGGATGTTAATTGTAATTTCCATAGCAACCAATAAGAAAATAACTAAAACATATTCAAAGAAAGAAATAAGCAGGGAATCAAAATAGTACACAGTAAAAAAAAAAAATATACAAAAGAAGGCAGTATTGAGGGAATTGAGGCACACAAAAAAAGTCACATAGAAACAAATAGCAAAACGACAGAAATTCTTAACAGTAGTCACTTTAAATGTAAATGGATTAAATTAATGGATGGGAAAAAAGAAAACATGCTCCAGCTATATGCTATCTCCAACTATATGCTGTTTTAGCAAGTAAGATGTTTTCATTTTCTTTGATAAATTTATAGAGTGAATCGAACTGGCCTAGATTTACATTTGCAGTGTCTGCTGAACATTTTTTATAGATGAGCAATGTCTAGTTTACAATTGGACAAGATATCAACAATTTTATATTGTATTTAGTTTCATGAAAATCTTTATAAAAATGAAGAAGACAGTTTGACCTCTGTTTTTCAATCCAAGAGTGAAGAGCTAGGGGATTTTTTTTTTCTTGTCATGATTTGATGTATCATCTGATATACTCTTGAAAGCAGGATTGGCTCTACACTGTAAGGGGCCAACACATCTGTTATCAAATATCTCCTTTTGTTTGTCCACAGGGCATTTTAGTTGCAACATTTGAGTTTGGAAATGTAACTTTATTCAGTTTTATATATCAGTGAATAGAAGTATACAATAATACACGTTTATGTTGTCTAATATAATTGGGCAGTCACTATTTTCAACTCAGCATCTGTGTCTTTTGGGGAGACAAAAACCCGTTTATTTATTTAGAAGTACTTGCTTGTCATCCTAGATTTGTTTCAGTCTCCATATGTGCTTTTACATCCCCTTCACCACCATGCCTAAGCCTGAATTCTCTTTTGCATATTGTGCAATTTGCTGTTGTAGTTATTTATCTCCCTAATCCAGGTGTTGATGCATCTTTATATCTGTCATTAAAATAAGAGGCTTTTTTGGTGATGTATGGGTCATGCTGTCGTTGGTATTATAATTGTTTTCATTTTCATTTCTGAACTCTTAGAAAACACGGTCACAATACTTACAATATTAAAAAATAAACTAGCGCTATGTCCGTACAAAGTACAAGTTAATCCACAAAGCCAAAGACTGTAAATGTTTTGCTTTTTTTTAAAAGATTTTATTTATTTATTTATTTGAGAGAGAGAGACAGAGAGAGAGCACATGAGAGGGGGGAGGGTCGGGAGGGTCAGAGGGAGAAGCAGACTCCCTGCCGAGCAGGGAGCCCGATGCGGGACTCGATCCTGGGACTCCAGGATCATGACCTGAGCCGAAGGCAGTCGCCTAACCAACTGAGCCACCCAGGCGCCCCCAAAGACTGTAAATGCTTATGAGTGCCATGCATTTAAGTTACATACTTAAGACGCATCACTCGTGAGTGATGCAGCGATGGAGAGGTAATTCATTATTGTAAACCTCAATCATGGTCGCCAACATCAGAAACGGGGGGGGGGGGGGGGGCAGCAATAGTGACTAGGAAAGGCACAAAATCTGTGCCTTATCCACTTGAATTTAAAAAGATGTTGCTCACCGCCTTACTTTTTGAGGCACCTTATAAGTTCCACACTTTCCCTCAACTTTGCCCACCCATCTGCTCAAACCCGGACCTTTAACGTCCAGGCGAAGGATTTCCTGGGACATTCCAGACAGACTTGGACGGTCGGTCACCCTCCGTCTCCCTTTTCCACTCGTTTCAGTTTTCTCTTTCAGTCTCCCCCCTCCTTCATTCTTCCCTCGTCTCAGACCTCGTTCTCTCACTCTCAGTCCTCCTTTGTCTCCTCTTTTTCCCTTAGTCTCCGTTCTGTTTCTCAGATTCTCCATTATTTGTGCCTCAGTCTCCTCTTCCCTGTCTCAATTTTCCTTTTTTCATCAGTCGGTCCCTGCAACATATTACTGAAGTTGTAATTTCCCTTAGGCGATTCCTTCTCATTATTTTTAGCATAATTGGCGGTTTATGACACCTCTCCGCCCCCCTTGAACTCGGCCATCACTTCTGCCCCTCGGTCCCACAGTGGAATCCTCCGGTATAGGGTTGTACCATTACCAGCACTTTTAAGTAGAATCCCTTACAAAAGGATTGCACCATTCCAAAGTCCTTTTTCCCCAGTAAAGGACTGCACTACTGCAACTTCTTCCCCAATCCTCCTGCAAAAGCTCTCTGCAAAACTTCGCACCTCTTTGGTTTGTATAATCCTCCTTTCCTTCATCTTGCCTCCTCCCCTCTCTGCCGCGGTGGCACGGCCCAAATTCAGGTTAGGAATAAACCAAATTCCTCCGCGTGTACGGACCTGACTGGACTCTCAATATGGCGGCTCCTACAAAGAGACACAGTGCCTGGGAGCCGCCATCTTGCCTCCTGAACAAAGCCGCCGAGGGTGCAGAGGGGGCCAAACCGCTCTGTACGGCTCGGCGCATGCTCGGGAGCCCCGTGCTGTGCTCTCCCAGCCAGGAAGCGGGAGAGTTCGTCAATTCACGTTAATCTGTGACAGCTGTCGGGGGTTATGCTGGGACGGACGTTTCGGGACCTGATAATCGAGCTGGGGGTCAGAAGGGGAATTTATGGGTTAAGTCATGAGGAAGTCTGGCATTGATATTGGGGCGGGGGTCTGCGAGGGTCAGTAATTGGAGGTCTATGAAGACTGATGGGAAGTCTGTGGGATGAATGTTGGGTACGTACAGGGGTCAGTAGTAGGGAGAGCTGTATGATCTGTGGGTCAGGGATGGCAGGTCTGTGCGCTGTTGGAGCATCCGTGTGGCCAGTGATTTGTGGACCTGTATGGCCAGTCGTGTGATCGGGGTTCTGTGGAGGTGCTCTTTTGGGATTTGTGATTTCTGCACCTGGTGATTCAGTGATTTGTAGGGGGGTTTTAATGCAGCCAGGGACTGATAAAGGTCAGCTCTAGTTTAGTGGGAAAGGCCTCACTTTACAATTTCTGCAGGTCAGAGGCCGCCCCCAAGTTGAAGCCCCTCCTCAGATGTTTTCTCAAACGTCCATCTCCCTCCATCACTCACGTCCTCACAGAAGAAAACATTCTTTGAACGTAAGACCAAACAAATCTGACGAATAACATTATTATTGTCAATTCTCTCTAGCCAAAGACCACCAGGAACACCCTGAGTTGAATAAGTTGGGTATATGGCTGTAGCATCTAGTTGGGAACATGCACACCATGGGGAAAGTGAGGGCTTCTTGTAAGAGGGTGTTAGAACTTACAGGATTTCTCCTTGTGTTAGGTGATTTTGAGGCGGGCCTAAGGGGGTGGACCTTGCTCTGAATTGGATGTTGTGAGGAAGTGGGGTAATTCAGTGATGGGGGATTTCAATAAATCTAGAGTGAGGAGACTACCCTGAAGCTAAAGCTGTAATAGGTAAGGAAGTCGCAGTCGCTCATGTTAACTCAGAGAGGGGGTGTTTTGTGGATTGGACAATGTTGATGTTTTGTCTGTGTTCAGACATGATTTCAGACAGGTCCTGTTTTTGTCTTATTCTGTCATGGTCACAGAGTGGCCTTGTCTGATGTTGATGTTCTATGTAATTATGTTAAATAGGAGAATTTGAGTGCCAGGGCAGCTCTGAAATGTGAGGGCTGCTTTTTTTTTTTTTCTTTTCTTCTTCTTAATGTGAGGTGTGATTTCAGTCCCCCGTCTTCCTGTTTACTGAAATTGTTCTACATCCTGTTCAGCAAACATTTATTAAACACCTGCTTTTTACTTGTTTCAGAGCTCGGTGTCCAGAGAGGAGCATGCCTATTCGATTGTTTCCTTCCAGGTTTATTTTGACAAAGCCTGGGATAACCCCATAGGAAACAGTCTACCTTTCATGGGAGTACTCATTTCTGTGAGTGAGTGCAGTCTTCTCTGCGTGACCCATCCTGGGACTGAGAAGAATTTACCAGGTATGTATCTTTACGCATTGTAGTATATTCCTGTTTATCAATGGTTCTAACATGACACTCTATATTCTTATATAGACAACTGCACTATTGAATATCAGCAATACAAACAAACAAAAAACATGTTAAAATTAACAAAATCAACAGTTTTAATTTATGAATATTGACTTGGCAAGAGAATTTGCTGAGTTAGGGGAAAATATAAAAGAGCTATTAGGATTTTGCCGGCTGCTTATGTCTAGGGAATATGGGTGCATTCTCGATTTTCTACTTGGTCATTCCTATTCTTTTTGTCAGGGAACTGCTTCATCTGCAGTTAAATCTTACATATATATGTATACATAATTATTGTCTTATGATAGAGTCTTACAGATAGAATTACAAATAGAATTGCTGGTTCAAAGGGGAACAATAAGGTGTTCGTATATCAACAGAAATATCTGCATTCATCCAATTAAAAATACACCTTGTACAAGTTCTATGTGATTATATAGTCACAAGAGGACTTTTTTCACGTGGTACTTACAGACCCTTCTATAAGGATCAAATGACCTTCTACAGGGTGGCCTGTTTTCCTCTTGGTGGTTGTTTCTAGACTGGTAAATGGCTCCTGGAGATTTAGTCTGTCTTTCAGTCCTGATTCCTCAGACTTCTGCTCTTTTGGAAGAGAAGCAGAAAATGACCAAGTCTCACGTGAGTTGCTTGCTTATTTTGTACTTGGTTTCCATATAATCAAATGGAAAAGTGCAGAAAGCTAGAAATTAGAATTAGGGAAAATGTAGAGAGAACAAAGACTTGGAGACGAGTTGCTATGTAATATGTAGATTATGTGGTTTTAAGCCACATAAAACAACTATTATAGTTCATATATATATTTGTTATGTAAATTTTATATAAATATAATGTACATTATATTTACTTTATGTGAGTGTGTAAATTAAAGCGCAAATTTGAAAAAAAAATAAAGCGCAAATTTGTTCGATCTTTTCTAGCAGCCACAGGGGGGAGGTAGAGGACATCATATACATAATTTGGCATTCTCCACAAATAGAAATCAACTGAATTTTCAATGAAAATATTTCTTGACATTAGGACAAAAAGAAATTCATTTTGGGTGATCTTCTATAGATGATATCCTGACCTATACTTCTGCATAAATGTGTCAGATTTTTTGTGGTTGTGTCTTTAAATATTTTTTTTTAGAAGGTAGTTAGCATAATGTTAGAGCTGAACTCCATAAGCATTATTCTTTGGGGAACTAAAGTATAGTTTATCCAGAGATAAAACCTAGATAAGATGGAGTGATGAGTATCTGTTTGTCTCCAAAGTAATTATTTCTCTCAGATAGGCAGTTCTTTACTTAAAATTCAGTGGCAAACACTTGGGAGCACAGGGGTCTCTGATTCTCCATAGCCTTTGCTATGGTCTCAGAGTTTGTGAGGCAACTCCCCAACTGAATGCCAGTTTTGGGTCCATTTTTTTCAATTTATAAAATCATTTTACTATTTTTTGTCCTGGCCTGAATTATTTTAAACATTTTAAAAAACATAAAAAATAAAATAAAAATTATAAAGTGAAAGGGACCCTAACATTTCCTTTCTCCTGGAATAACCAGTATTAATAATTTGTGATGCTTAGATTTTTCTCCATCTGGAAATTATTGATTCTCTTGTTTTTAAAACATAAAGTCTCAACTTTATTATTTAACTGATTGACTATCCAGTTTTCCCAAAACCATTTGTTGAATAATTCATTTATTTGAAATGCTGCCTTTATTGAATTCCCATTTGTGATTAAGTCTCTTTTGCTCTTCTGTTCTTTTGATGTGTTTGACTCTTTTTGCTAAAGACAGAATTTTACATCATTTTTCTGAATAGGCATGATGTAGAACTGGGCATATGGTTTGGCATGCTATGGTAAAAATAAGACTGATCACTTCAGATTGAACAGGAGCATGCTGTTATAGGGTCCATTGTCATTTGAGGATGTGGCCATAGCTTTCACCAAGGAGGAGTGGCAGCAACTGGACCCTGCTCAGAGGACCCTGTACAGAGATGTAATGCTGGAGAACTTCAGCCACCTGGTCTCATTGGGTAAGGATGGCTTCCCCCCATATCACAACATCTTCCAATCCAGTGCCTCTCTCTTCTCCTTTGATCAAGTTGGGTGGGTTCCTGACATATGTAATGACTGACTTTGTGCTCTCTTTTCTCTCTCCAGCAGAAGGTCAGCTGGACAGCTTTATTGTGGGGCTCCTAAAATAGCACCCCCCCTTTTTTTTAAGTAGGGCTTGACTCACGACCCCGAGATCAAGAGCTGAGCTGAGATCAAGAGTCAGACACTTGACCGACTGAGCCACCCAGGTGCCTTTCTTTTTTCTTCAGTGTAGTCAACCCAATTCCTCTCTGATTTCTCTATAATAGGGCATCCAGTGTCCAAACCAGATGTCATCTCCAAGTTGGAACAGGGAGAAGAACCATGGATCATAAAGAGAGACATATCAAATTGGATCTGTCCCGGTAAAAATCTGGCAGGTGGGAGCCAAGGAAAGTGAAATCTCAGTTTCTTTGTTTTTGTTTTTAATTGGCTGGTGGCTGAGATTTATGCTTCCACCCAGATTGGCAGCTCCTATTCCTTCTTGCTCCTGTGCTGAACATGTAGTAAGTATTCAACAACTTGTTAATTAGGTAATAGTGAGCATGAAGAGAAGAAAAATTTCTTACTGATTCACTCATATCTTGGTAGATATGATTCAGAATCATATTTTTAGTGCCTTTCTAGAAGAAATTCAAAGGCAATAAAAGTCAGATGCTTTTCAGAACCATAGGTTGTACATGGAAAGACAAGGCATCAAAGTTCATGGCTGTATAAAATTGCACAACCAATATAGTTAATGTTTTAGGAGTTCACTGAAAATTACAGTCTAAAGAGACGTGGCATAACTTAAGAAGGTGTTTTTTCCAAGCATGAACCAGCTACTCTGAAGTATATTTGAAGTGTGGGTTAGGCAGGAGGAGGGTGAAGGCAAGCTCTAGCAATGGATGTGTACAGATTTTTGGAGTTAGGAATCATTATGCCTTTTCTGCAGAAATTTGCTAGGCTTGCCTTCATAAAATATATTTTTGGGGGAATAATGGGATATAAGCATGAATACACAGTGTGACTATGGACAGTAAAGTGCATACTGTACCTATACTCTGAAATATTCTGGTATTATTGTATTTAAACAACTTCGAGGTATAACTCACATGCTTTACAATTCACCCATTCAAAGTTAACAATTCAGTGGTTTTTTTATAGTGTATTCACAGATATGTATAACGATTCCCACTGTCAATTTAAAACATTTTTATCACCTACGAAAGAAATCCTGTACCCTTTAGCTATCACACCCCTGTTACTCATCTCCCAGCCCTAAGCAACCACTAATCTGCTTTCACTCTCTATTGATTTGCCTACTCTTGATCTTTTATTTAAACGAAATCATATAACATGAGGCCTTTTGTGACTGGCTTCTTTCGGTTAGCACACTTTTTGAGGGCCATCCACCTTATAACGTGTATCAGTCCTTCGATTCTTTTTGGCTGAATAATATTCCATTGTATGGATATACTACATTTGGCTGTCCATTCATCAGTATTTGGCTTGTTTCCACTTTTTCGCAACATGAATAATGCTACTATAAACATTCATATACAAGTTTTTGTGTAAGACCTATGTTTTATTTTTTCTTTGGTATGTACCTAGGAGTGGAATTGCTGGGTCATATAGGAATTTTGTGTTTAACTAAAATGGTCCCTAATGACTAATTATGTTTAGCATATTTTCATCTGCTTGTTGGCCATTATGTATCTTCTTCGGAAAATAATTTGTTGAGATCATTTGTCTATTTTGAGTTGTCTTTTTATTATTGAATTGTAAGAATTCTTTATAGAGATAAAATTCTTATACAGAAGTTATATGGAACTTTTATGTAAAGTTCTTTGTATAGGTAAGGTGTTTTTTATAGAGTTCTTTTGTTCACTGGTACTAATTTTATTATTAATTAGGACAGGCTGGATAACACTATATTACAAATTAACCTCTAAATGCCAGTGCTTTAACACAACAATGTTTGTTTTCTTTTCTTTTTTTTTTAAGATTTTATTTATTTATTCATGAGAGACAGGGAGAGAGAGAGAGAGAGGCAGAGGGAGAAGCAGGCTCCCTGCTGAGCAGGGAGCCGGATGCGGGACTTGATCCCAGGACCCTGGGATCAGGACCTAAGCCGAAAGCAGACGCTTAACCGTCTGAGCCACCCAGGCGCCCAACAATGTTTGTTTTCTTTACATGTTGCATATCCAACACAGTTCAGCAGGGGGCATGCTCCACATGGTACCTCAGGAGATCAAATTGAGTGAAGTTAACACTATCTGCAGTCCAGCTTGTCACTGATACAGGGGAAGAGAAATCTGGAGGACTCACATGGCTCTTCTGTGCTTTACCTAGATTGCCAGTTTACTCTAAAAGGATATAACCCAGGAATATCCAGCTGGAGGAGATACATAGGGCAGGGCATGGGGAAAGGGCACAGAGCTTCACGGCCTCTCCAGGTGCACCACTCTCCCGGCACACCTCCATGTGTTCACCAACCTGGAAGCTCCTAGAGTTCTTGTTTGATGTAGGTCTCTTAACCAGACATATGATTTGCAGATACTTATATCCTGCGGGTTGTCTTTTCACTCTCTTGATAGTAGCCTTTGAAGCACCAGATTTTGTAATTTTGATGAAGTCCAGTTCTTCTATTTTTCTTTTGTTACTTGTGCTGTTGGTATATCCAAGAATCTATTGCCAAATCCAAGGTCATGAAGATTTACCCCAAGTTTTTTTTCCTAAAAGTTTTATACTGTTAATGCTCTTACATTTGGGTCTTTGATCCATTTTGAGTTAATTTTTGCACATGGTGTGAAGTTAAGGGTCCAACTTCATTCTTTTGCATATGGCAATCCATGTGTTCCAGCACCATTTATTTATTTACTTATTTATTCATTTATTTATTTTTATTTTGATTATGACATGCATTTTTGTTTATGTTTATTTATTTTAATACCTATATAGTCAAATACAGTGTTGTATTAGTTTCAGGTGTACAATATAGCAATTCAGCAATTCCTTGTATTACTCAGTGCTCATCAAGATAAGTGTACTCTTAATCCCCTTCATCTGTTTTACCCATCCCCTCACCCACTCCCCTCTGGTAAACCTCCATAGTTGTTTGTTCTCTATAGTTAAGTCTGTTTTTTGGTTTCTCTTTTTTTGTTTGTTTTTTCCTTTGTTTGTTTAGTTTCCTAAATTCTACATAGGAGTGAAATCAAATGGTATTTCTCTGACTGGCTTATTTCATTTAGTATTATACTCTCTAGATCCATACATGTTGTTGCAAATGGCAAGATTTTAGTCTTTCTTATGGCTGAATAATATTCCATTGTGTATATATATACCACATCTTCTTTATACATGCATCTGTTGATGGACACTTCCATAATTTGACTATTGTAAATGATGCTGCAATAAACATAGGGGTGCATGTATCCCTTTCAATTAGTATTTTTGTATTCCTTGGGTAAATACCCAGTAATGTGATTACTGGATCACAGGGTAGTTCCATTTTTAATTTTTTGAGGAACCCCCATAACGTCTTCCACTGTGGCTGCACCAGTTTGCATTCCCACCAACATGCACAGATGTTCTTTTTCTCCACATCCTCACCAACACTTGTTGTTTCCTGAGCTTTTGATTTCCTGACAGGTGTGAGGTGATATCTCATTGTGGTTTAGATTTGCATTTCCCTGATGATGAGTGATGTTGAGCATGTTTTCCGGTGTCTCTTGGCCATCTGGATGTCTTCTTTGGTGGTATGTCTGTTCATGTCTTCTGCCCATTTTTAATTGGATTATTTGATTTTGGGGTATTGAGTTGTATAAGTTTTTTTAATATAGTTTGGATACTAACCCTTTACCGGATATATCATTTGCAAATATCTCCTCCCATTCCATAGGTTGTCTTTTAGTTTTGGTAGTTGTTTTCTTTTCTGTGCAGAAGCTTTTTATTTTGATGCAGTCCCAGTAGTTTATTTTTGCTTTTTGTCTCCCTTGCCTCAGGAGACACATCTAAAAATGTGTTTTTACAGCTGGTATCAGAGAAATTACTGCCTGTACTCTCTTCTAGGATTTTTATGGTTTCAGGTCCTATATTTAGGTCCTTAATCCATTTGGAGTTTATTTTTGTGTAAGAAAGTGGTCCATTTTCATTCTTTTGCATGTGTCTGTGCAGTTTTCCCATTTCATATTCTTGTCTCCTTTGTTGAAGATTAATTGGCTATAGAATTGTGGGTTTATATCTGGATTCTCTATTCAGTTTTTAAGATCCACTCGTCTGTTTTTGTGCCAGTACCATACTGTTTCGATTACTACAGTTTTGTAATATAACTTGAAGTCTGGAATTGTGATGCCTCCAGTTTTGTTTTTCTTTTTCAAGATTTCTTTGGCTATTCTGGATCTTTTGTGGTTACATACAAATTTTAGGATTGTTTGTTTTAGTTCTGTGAAAAATGCTGTTGGCATTTTGATAGGGATTGCCTTAAATGTGTGGATTGCTTTGGGTAGTATAGACATTTTAACAACATTTGTTCTTCTAATCAATGAGCATGGAATGTCTTTGTGTTATCTTTAGTTTCTTTTATCAGTGTTTTATAGGTTTCAGAATATAGGTCTTTCACCTCTTTGGTTAAGTTTATTCCTAGATATTTTATTATTTTTGGTAAGGTTGTAAATGGGGTTGTTTTCTTAATTTTTTTTAGCTGCTTCATTATTAATGTATAGAAATGCAGTGAATTTCTGTACAATTGATGTTGTATCCTGTGACCTTATTGAATTCATATATCAGTTCCAACAGTTTTTTGGTGGAATCTTTAGGGTTTTCTATATATAGTATCATGTCATCTGCAAATAGTGCAGGTCTTACTTCTTCCTTACCAATTTGGATGCCTTTTATTTCTTTTTGTCAGATTGCTGTGGCTAGGACTTCCAGTACTATGTTGAATAAAAGCGGATATCCTTGTCTTGTTCCTGACCTTAGGGGAAAAGCTCTCAGTTTTCCCCCATTGAGTATGATGTTAGCTCTGGTTTTTCATGTATGGACTTTATTATGTTGAGGTATGTTCCCTCTAAACCTACTTTGTTGAGGGTTTTTATCATGAATATATGTTATACTTTGTCAAATGCTTTTTCTGCGCTATTGAAATAATCACTTGGCTTTATCCTTTTTCTTATTGATGGAACATACCAGTTGATTTTTTTTGCGAATATTGAACCACCCTTGCATCCTGGGAATGAATCCCGCTTGATCATGGTGAGTGATTGTTTTAATGTATTGTTGGATTCAGTTTGCTAATATTTTGCTGAGGATTTTCACGTCTGTGTTCATCAGAAATACTGGCCTATAGTTCTCTTTTTTTGTGTGGTGTCTTTATCTGGTTTTAGAATCAGGGTAATGC